TCTGTTTCTATGCAATGACATTAAAGATCTAAAGTCTATTCAGGCAGATAATTCAGTTGACTTGAAATGACCAAATTTTATTTTCACAAAACCCTCCACATAGAATTTAAATGCAAAAATTTGTTTTGAATAATTTTTATCAAAGATTTATTTTTGTGTAAATATTTTTTGCTGAATAATTTAAATTAAAGCTTTCCAGCAATGACTTTCTACCAAACAACACTTCGCGTGTTTTTCCATCCTCATTAAACAATTTTCATTGTTGAAGAGAAAGTTTATTAATTCAATTAATTTTTTTTTTCAATCACTGTTCACTGCTCAGACACTGAACTTTCAATGTCATTAACGTTACTCATTCAAGAAAAATAATACATTTTAACGAAGTATCTAATCGATTTTCAATCACTGACATTATTAAGTAGCGTGAGCTTTCAACATAAAGTGCAAAGTTATAATTTAATCTGGAATTGTTGGATTTTGTCGATTGTGTACATTGCAATGTGCACGCCTTTACAAAGTGACAATTTAAAGCTTTTCATCCAATTAACAGACCTAAGAAATGTGGTGAAAATATAAAGTGACATTCAATATTTAATTAAATAAGACTAAAAATCCAAACATTAGCAGTGGTTGTTTTGCAGCAGTCTAAAGTTTCCGAGTGAAGTTTATTGAACTGTGTGAACTCATTTTTATGAAAGAGAAGTGCAGAAAAAAATTAATGCAAAATGACACACAATGGCAATAATTCGTCGCCTCCAAGCAATACGCCATCAGCAGTTGTAACTGGGAATGTAGAAGAGCGCTTAATGGTATGTAAAAGGAACAAAGACACAATTCATTTCCGTTATTAATAATGAAAAATTCTCTTGTAGATACAATGTACAGATTGAAACATAAATTATGTGTGATATTCAGATAATTTTTTAAATCTTTTCTTAAACTTGAAATTTTTATTTCGAAGTTGAAAATCTTTCTTGAATTATTTTGTTGCAAGAGTAAATTTGGCATGCAATATTCAAGAAAAGCACATTTAAAGCATCTCTGAAATGCCATTCATTAAAACATTCATTTAATCTGTCATTATTCTCCGTTGTTATGTTGGGTCACCTTGACAGCATTTATAATTTTCTTCTTTATTAGAATCATTAAATAATTTATAAACATTCATACCAAAAGTCAACTTTTCATTGGAAAATCCAAAGTTTGATTTACAAAATTTTAAAATAAAGCTTTTGAACTAAAAGAAATCAATTTGAAAATCACCTTTTAATATTTGATGGAAGCATTCAGCTAAAAATTTGAAGCCTACATGAACATTAGGAAGAAAAAGCTTTTAAAGCTTTATATAATTGTATTTTTGTATACAAAATGATTCACTCAGTGAAGTTGTTCAAATATTTATTCTTATGTACTTACGTATCGTTACAGTTAGTGAGTACTAAACAAAGCATTTTACGTTTTCTTTGTTAGATTAAAATGCTTACATTCGAGTTTTCTCAAAAGAATTCTTTCCCTCATCTCATTTATCTGTTTGACGATCAAATTAATTGATAAAAAAGAATGTTTTGAAAAATCTGTGATTGACTTCTTTTATTATCTTAGATCTTAAATTTTCACTTCCTTAATGTTGTCACACAATTTCTAATGCTTAAGAAGCGAAAGTTGTAATTTTCAAACTTCTCAACTTTTAAAAGTTTTGCAGCAAAACTTTCAACAATAAACATTTCCGACTTAATGCTTTTTTCATGTTCAATTATATTTAAACATCGCAATTAATTTCACACTTTTCCGTCATCAAAATAACATTGACGCTATTATATTATGTAATAAAACTTGCTTTTCCTCTATTTTGTATCATTTTTATTAGGTTGCTGTGAGAGTTTGTCCCATTCTAGATTCTAACGATGTCCCTTGTATTCAAGTCACGCCTAACTCAGCAATCTTATTTGATGAGGGTGGCACGCGTAATAAACTTCGGAGATATGTTTACGATCACGTGTTTGATGATAAATCTACGCAAGAAATTGTTTACCAAAAAACTACAGCCGCACTTGTTAAGGATGTTTTAAATGGTTACAGTGCTGCCGTGTTTGCTTATGGTGCAACTGGATCAGGTGAATTCTCATACATTAATTAATCTTTGTTACTTACTTGTTGACACAATTCTCTCATTTGTTTTTCGTTGAATAGGAAAGTAAGTGCAAAACATAAAACGAACTAATCGACAATCTACATGAATAAAATAGGTTGTTTTGTGGAATTAATATTTATGTCAATTTATTCAGAACACATACAATGCTTGGCCCAAATCCAAAAAAAGCCGCAACACCTTCTACATCAACAACCCCTTCATCATCAGGCTCAGATTCTTCTAACACAGGTGACGGTCTTATGGTGAAAGCAATCGATGATATCTTCAAATTTGTGGAATCTTCAGAAAATCCTCGAGAGTTTCGAGTAAGTTTATTATCATCTCGTTTATGCTTGAACGTTTTCTGAGGCTTAAGATGACAATGCAAATGTTTATGAGAATTGTTTGCTGATAAATATGTTTATCATATTTATTAATTTGCCTCTTGTGAATCATAATATTTTCAAAGATTACCTTAAAGGTAGCAACAGCGAAGTTTCAAAAGTTTTGAAGCGAATGAAAATTTCTTTGATAGCATTCGTGCTTCTTTTGTTTTCATAAAGTTTCATGCAAACATAGCTTGAAATATTCAAGAATTTAAATGATTCTAAGACACAATTCTCGATGAAAAATTCATAAGACTTTGGTCATTAATGGTTTTTTTTCTCTTAGTCTTGGTTACCTAAAATACTTTATTTGAAAAGCCATTCAAGAGAATATGTAAGTGGAAGGACATTTTCTAAAATATATTGACCAGAAAAGCTCGATGTAGGCGGAACAGTTTGAAGCAGTTCAGTTAGGAAAATAAATTATAATGTTGGATATTTTACGCCGCATGTTTCTAATTGTAGGTTTCAGCAACGGTTTCGTTAGTCAATCGTTTTTCTGTTCTTTTCTTTCCTCAACAGAGAACTTTCATTCAAAGGAGATTTAAAGCTTTCTTAAAGACTCGGAAGATTTGCAAGAATAAAAGGGAAGATTGTTAGGCCGTTAATTATCTTTAAAGACTTGATAAAACTTCATTGATGGAGAATAAAAGAAACTACAAACAAAAATAAAAACTTGTCACGCAAGCAACCCAAACGATATAAAAAAGCTTCCCTGATGGCATATTTTCAGTGAAAGATAAAGTTAATTATGAAAGTATTAAAGCACGACTCTCTGGGAACATAACGCGACCGAAATTTTTGTTTTTCCTTCGTCCCACAATGAAGCTATCGTAGTGGAAGGTCAATTTATTTTATGACTCTTTTATCAGCCAATGAATATCTTAAACTAATGTTTTAACCACTAAGGCAGTGTTTGCTCATGACGTAAATTAATTAATAATAGAATAGAAATAAATATCCGAAGTGTACTTACATAGAATGATTAATTGTCTGTTGAGCATTTTACATACCTTAAGAAAGCAGTTTGTGAATATAAAAAATATCTATGAAGAAGGAAATAACTTTCCGCCACCCACCATTTAAAGGTTAAAAAAAGCAATAAATTATCAGGCAAATCGATAAACGCTTAAAATGTTATATACTTTTACCTTTTAGACAAAGCAACTCACAAAAAGAAATATTGAACTTGGTAGATAAATATATGATAATGTTGTAAGATATAAAATATGACTCCAAAAGAATTTATTTGTGAAACTGCGTCATTAGTTGTTAATACAAAAAGTATCAAAATAAAATATTGCTACGTATATTTACAAAAAGAAAATCACATCGAAAGTTCACTAAACTTACGTTTCACAAAAGTTATCAAAAAAAAAAAGTTTTGCATGAGAAAATTAATGAGTTGATTAACATCAGTTAATACGATTTTGTGTTTTTGTGAATATTTTGACCCATCTCAGAATTGTCATATTCAAATAAGTGAGCAAAGGGTAAAACATTTGAAAGGTTGACAAAGATTGAAAGGGTTTTATTTAACAAGTAAAGATGATGTTGACATATGAAAAGTGTCAAAGATACTCTTACAACATGTCAAATGTTGATCAGAAAAAGTCATTCGTAGGTTTAAAAGTCATCTACGGGTGTTGAAAGCGAAATATTTGCGTGGTTTAAAGATGGAAAGTATTTTATTTTATTTGAAAATGTGGCATTATAGAAAGCTTAAATTTCAAAAGTTATCTACAATAGAAACAACTTGCACATCACAAGTATCAAATAACAATTATTATGACGTAGAAATGAATGTTTGAAGGTGGAAATTTTAAAAAATAATCGTTTAAAAAGGCTTCCAAAAGGCATTTCCCAGAGCTTGTTAAAAAACATTCCTTGTATGCTTAAATTCCCGACCCTTAAAGTCAAGGCTAAAGGCAAAAACAAATCTAACAAAGCTTTTATCAAGATAAATGTAAACATCGACAGAAAATGAAACGTAGGATCTTTTCCTTGTTTACGCTTCAATATATTCGAACTTGTAGAGATTGAAGTTGGTCGTCGGAAAAGTTTTTAAATTAAAATAAGGCTGTCTCAATTTCTCTTTGACGCCAAATCACATTGATATTTAAATTATTTCCTTTCGAGACCAGATGATTCCCTCAAGCATAAGAGACAGATATTTGAATCGAGATGGAAAAAAAGTTACAAAATTTTTCGTTTCTTCTTTTTGAAAAAAATGAAATTTCCTTGGTGATATTTATTAGGAAGAAGGAAAAGTATTTCCTGAGATTGAATCAGATGAATGATATAATCAAACTTTTCTTCTTTCATTGGTCAATTTCACTTAGATACTTTAAGAAGAATCTTTTCTCAGCGCAAACTTTGAATTATTCTTTTGAAAATAACTTAATAAAGGAATCTTAAAACGAGTTCATAAATCAAAAAATTGCTTTATGCTGAATATATGTAATTGCTCCCCTATGAAATCTTAAGAAGAAAAATAATTGGTTGATTTATATTAGTCCCACGTTTCACATACAATCCTTGTAGATTTAGGACACAAGAGATGAAGCTTTGGAAACATATCAAAAAAGAAAAAAGAAAAGCTTTGTACAATTAGCTAAATATTTATCCAGTTGCTTCGTATTATTCTAGATCGATATTTTAAGTAGGCCACGCGCCTCAACATTCAAATTAAATAAAATCACAAGAAAGCTTTTAAATAAGAAGAAGAGAACACTCGAAGGCATGATACATATTTCAATAATACTCAGAAAACTGAAGCATCTCAGTCGTTAACAACATTTTTCTTGTAATTTCACAGTTTGCAAAATAATGTTTACATTATTTTATGCTGCTACCTAAATAAGCACGAGAAAAAGTATAAAAGTAGCTTTTGCTCCTAAAGTTTAGAAAATATGGTTCAAGAAAAGTTCTTGAAAAATTGCGATCTTAAAATATCTTTTGGGAAGTTTCAATTAATAAACATCTTAAAATAGAATCTGTTGGGATAATAAGAAACACTTCACTCCTATTAATAAATTTTTGTTTTCTTAATATTTTTAATAAAACATTATTATCTGACGAAATCTAAAATCCAAAAGTTCTTCTTGCACGCTTCGTGTAGAAATTGATTTGTTCGACACAAACCTACTGTTTAAGTTTTCATTACATTGTAGATATGTAAGATCGGAATTGAACAGAAGCACAGATTGAAAGCTAATTTTCGTCAATCAATTATTCACAAGATGAAATGAAAAATGAATAGAAAAATTGATTGAAGACAAATATCGATACGCTTCTATGAAGACTTATTGAAAGCTCATCACGTTATGTCTCGATTCTACAAATGATTGTAAAGTGAAACAATGATTTGCTATTGTCATAAAATAAATTTAATCAATAATTTCTTCCATCCTTATACTCAGTGAGAGCGATAACCTTTAACATTTACCTTGATGCCTTCAAAATTTCCTCAAAAACCCCAACGAAAGTATAAGTAATAAATCTTTTTGAGTGTTTCCGTTTTAAGACGATGTTTCCGAATAAGAAGATCAAACCACAGACCCAAAGAATATTCTTCCATCCATTTCAATAATAGAAAAGCTTAACTTTTAGGGTGAAATTTTATTTACGCAGTTAAATTTATTACTCTCATTTCTCCTTCCTTTTGAAAAGGTGCAACAAATATCTGTCGTCTGCGAAGAATTACTTTTTATCCATCAATATTAGATAAGTTAAACGTACCTCGAAGAGCTCTACTTTCTATGATAGCTGTCATTGGTCCTCGTAATAGTTATATTCAGAAAAGTCGACAGAGAATTCTCATTCGGGTTAATCACCATTTAAAGACTACCTCGGTAGTTTCTATCTCATGGCAATATCGATGATATTAATGTTTCATGAAGTGGAGGAAACGAAATAAAACCTATGTTTTTTTATTTCGGAAATAAATCAATAAGTTAGTAGATTACCGGCATTAACGGACCAATAAAACTGCGATAAAATATTTTCTTCCTCTACCTTTTTTGTGTCACAAATGAAAAGATTACATACGTGCTCGTACTACGAAATCACGCATTACAAAACCGTATTCATTTCGATTATAATGTTATTTAAGAGACGAATATAAGAATCACAGTCAGTGAAGGGTTCGAGAGTTTAATAATACGTTTAGTTTCATGGCACGAGTCAATTAAACGTAGTCCACAACAAAAGAACGAAATACTCGATCAGAGATCCGTTTTACAAATTTTTTATTATGTTAGTAGCTCAGAGGAATATTTATGACATAAAAGAAGTGGAACAAAATTTACATAAAACATCATGAGGTTAAATAGTACAGTGAGGGCTTTATTTTATGTACACATACATTGTCGAACTCACAGGTGGTTGGTTTAAGAGTTTGCATTTCATAAACTTTGTACAAAGTAAAGTTTTGTGTGAAAACAATTTGTTATGTTTACGAGCATTTTATTATTCTTTCAATTCTTTAGATTTGCCACGAGTTATTCAAGTAAACTTACTAATGCTTCGTATTTTATTTTAAAGCTTCTCGGAATTGTTAAGAAATTTTTCATTTAATTGTTGAGAAAAATTAAAAGCGACACGAGAAAGTTTTAAAGTTCAACACATAACACGACATTGACATTTGCAAAGTTTATGTAGAGCTGAACTTTTCACAATTAATTAAACTTAACATGTGCCAATGATTCATTCACAAAACATTTACTCAGATCAAAATTTTTCTTAAAATGATTGTCAAGGCTTTTTAAACAAATTTATTCCGTAAGCTTATCTACATGCTTTATTATCTCTTATAACTTAAATGCTTCAATTTATCTTTTCTTCCTTATATTCCCAATTTATTAAAATGAAAAATTATGACAATCTTAAGATGAAAGACGAAGGAAGGAAATGAAATATATTATAAACAATTTCTTTTAATTTTGTCGTTTCCTTGGAGTCTTCCACGTAAATTAATTATTATTGTGACAATTAAGCTTCTTCTTAAAAAATCTTCTATTGTGTAACCGACATTGAATCTTCTTTTCTTTATTCTTCTAGGTATCAATTTCTTATCTGGAGATCTACAACGAACTAATCAAAGATTTATTAAACCCATCGGCAGGATCTTTGGAATTGCGAGAAGATAATAGGGGTAATCAAACTGTTAGTGGCTTATTGGAAATAAATGCCGTGAGTAGATACGAAGTGATTTCGTTGTTGTTGAAAGGCAATAAGTCACGAACAGTCGAACCAACGGCTGCAAATCAAACGTCATCACGCTCACATGCTTTACTGAATATAACAGTCACGCATGTTACGCCACTGGGAACCAAACAAGGTCGACTTTATCTGACTGATTTAGCCGGAAGTGAACGAGCAAAGAAAACAAAAAATCGTGGGAAGAGGTTACAAGAAGGCGCACATATCAACAAAAGTTTACTTGCTTTGGGCAATTGCATTAATGCTTTGGCAGGCGGTGCTCGTTACGTCAATTATAGGGATTCAAAATTAACTCGATTGCTAAAAGAAGCTTTAAGTGGAAAATGCAAAACCGTCATGATAGCTCACGTGTCAAAAGAAGGAAAACATCGAGATGAAACTAAAAACACTTTGGTTTATGCTGAACGTGCAAATCATATTACAACGAGACTGCAAAATCCTACGCTCCTGGAAGAGAATCGAGCATTTCCAATGACGCATTATCAGAATTTAGTGTCAGAATTGCGAGAAGAAGTTGGTCGGTTGAAGAACAAAATGTTATCGGACAGACCACGTAGTGCCGCAATTCAAAAACAAATTAATGAAGATCCTGACACTCAAAAGCGAAAACAGGAGTTGAAGTATCTTCGAGAACAAATCGTATTGACATTTAAACAGCAAATGAAATTGAGACGAAGGTTACTTGAGTCGGAGTCACATTTGCTTGGGTTGGAACTTGATGCTGAACGTCAACATATGGTAATTTCACATTGGCAGGGTCGTAAAGGAAAACTTTATGACAAACCCGGCACGTCACAAAAGCGTCGTGATTTGAATGACGATGATGAAAAGGATGAAAATGATGAAGAGTCGGATGATTCAGAAGCCACATCAGCGTTAAGAAATGCGTGGGCTGAATTGGGTGCAATCGAACGGGAAACCAAACGATATCGCGATATCAGAACCAACACAGAAAAGGATCTTGAGGAATGCCGAAAACGAGGTGTTTCGCTTGAAGATGTAATTTCATTGAGTTTTCATTTATCTCATCCTACGGATGAATTAACGAAATTGATATTTTAGGAGCTTCCTGATCGAATTAGTAGCGATGAAGAACGTGAACTTTTATCTTTGTTATGTCGCGTTCATGAGCTTGAGGCGGATAAAGTCTCATTACAAGCTGAAAGGATGGCAAGACAAGCGGAATTACGTCGCAGGGATTTGCAATTACTTCGAGCTGAACGACAAAGAAGGCTCTGTGAAGATATTATTAGCACGCAAAGAAGAATCATTGAAGGTCGGTAAAATAATTGGGATTTTAGAAGAATAAAATAAAATAAAGGATACGGAACAATCACTAAAGCTTAAAACTCCTACTTACAGAGGGACGTGTTGAAATCTCGGAAGAGCTTAAGGATTTGTATTCAATTTATCAACAAGAAATTCATGCAAGCACCTACACTGCTGGTACATCTCGAGCTGGAGGAAGAATTGTTTACGACACAAAACTTCCCCCAATTTATAACAGATCGTAAAGAATCGAAATTAGAAGAGAAATGATAAATTTTTATGAAAAGCTAATCGATTTTCCTTTATTTCAGTCTTACATCTGCTGACAGTTCAAGTTCATCAGATTGGTCACCAACACCGAAGTCAATTTTAAAAGATGTCGAAGGCAATCATCAAAACACACAATTTGATATACTTATGGGACCAGCTGTTCGAACGAGACTCCCATCGATTCATAAACGTGTTTATCCAAGTGCAAGCACATCCAGTGACGATTAAGAACAGAAAGTTTCTCTAAATGTCGCTCATAATTTCATTACAACGTATAACGTTGACATTTATAAGTATTATTATTATTGTTGAAATGTCTTCAGATTTATCAGAGTAAAAGATTCCCATGAAATTCACTGACGAAAGAAATAATAAAAGACAAAAATATTAGAGAAGCTTTTGAAAATCTCTTTTTTTCACACTCAAAATTAGCTTTTTCAGGTTTATGACTTATGAAAAATGTGATTAGATGTTAAATTTATGTTCTTCCTTTCTCAGTAAGAAGCTTTAAAGAAGGAAAGTTTTTTTCCATTATTTTTGTGTAATAAACGGATGAGTGAATTCTCGTCTGCTACTGTAATCAAAACGAAATAAAACTTTCGAAACTCCCTCAAGTCAGAAATATCGCTATGTAAACTGAAACTCTTCTAAGTATTAAAGTCAATCTCATTTTTACGGTTTTCAAGCAAGTTTTTCTTTTGCAAACTTTCAAGTTAAAAGGAATTTCATTGGCTTTAACGTCATCATAGTTTTCAAAGGACATCGGATACAAAATCAATTCAAATAAATGTCAATTGCTTTTGAGAGTATCAAATAAGTTGAGCGAAAAGAAAAAGTGACATTGAAATAAAAAAGTTTTAAGCTCAGTGCCATGTTGCTTGTCAACATGCGGTTGTTTTAAAGAGTCTTATTTTTCAATTTATAGTAAAAGTTTATAACAAGATTGAAAGAAAAAAAGGGTTAAAACAGTCAGTTTATTTTTTCCTTCTTCCTTCTACACCCTCTCGGTCTTGAGCAATTTTATTCACATCTTTATTTTCCTTGAAGGAAAACAAATTGAAACATCATAAAAAATTTGAATTGGAAAAGAATTTTCATATTTTCTTTCCATTGAGGTGTTAAATTTGATATTATTTCAAGTAAAGCAAAAACGTTTTGAATATCCATCCACGTGTTTCATGTTTTACTTGAAATAAAACAATTTTCTCTAATAAATTGATTTTTTTTAATTCAATTCCGATTCAGTTGGTTTTAATCAAAATTGAAATTGCAATAAAAATATGAGTTGAAATTCGCTTAAAGTTATTAAAATTTTTATTATCTTAACATTTCATTCTCCAATAACTTTAAAGAAGCAAAAATATTTTAAAGTGTTTTTCGTTTGTTGCATTTGCATTTTGAGTTAAAGTTTGGATTTTCAATTTCCTGAGATGGTTTGCGAATGCACACAAAATTTCCCTTCAAATTTGATTTTACTGCGGAAACTTCTACATGACCATCAGCATGATTTTGTTAAGTGCAATGTGAATCTATCTAAATAAATTAATGAAATGTAACTTTCAAGTTGACTAATTGCGGTAGAATTGAATTCATTCATTTACTTTCTTCAGAACAAAGCAGAGAGGTGGTCTGCAATTTCAAAGAACTTCTGTCTGTAACAAAAGATAGCGAACAAATAAAAACACAACCTTGAACTTGATTGTTTCAAAGCTTTTCATAAAACATTACATTTTCGCTACAAAGTTATTTGCCATGCGCAGGTTTACTCGTACATACCTACCGATCAACGTTGTTTAATGAAATTGTTGTTAAATTTTATGAATTGTTGCTAAATTACATTTCTATGGAATAGTCAATCTAATCAAAATGTCAATGAAATTAATTTCTGTTCAATTTCATGAATTCTTCTTGATAAATCAAAAGAGAATAACAAAACATTTAATGAAAGTTTATTTAGTAGTTCATAATAGAAAACTCTAAAACTGCAAATATTTCAATGAATATGCAAATTTTGGTATTTAATTATTCATGTTTACACATGATGAGAATTAAAATTAATTACAATTCTGGAGAAAATTGAGTCAATCGGAGTGTGAAGAGATAGGACAATATGAAATACATTCACCAAGCAATTAATTTCAATTTTCAAGAACAATTTTGATAATTTAATATGAATTGTTTTAAAACGCAGTGAAATATAAAGGCAAGAAATAAATAAAAGTCTGCCAGGGATCGTTTGATTTCAAACTTCATTACAAATATTTTCGAGGCCCCGTTGTCAATTTAAATTGATTCATCCTGATATCGAGGAAATCAAACAAATTTTTTCTTTTATCTTTATTGTTAGAACCTTCAAGCAAAAGAAAATAATAAAACATGCTAAGCTATAGAGAGCTGAAATCAATTTTTCTATTCAAAATATTTCTTCACGTGTCGTATGAACACTTTTGTAGGATATCAAAATATAATTTCTCATTGTGTTGTGACAATGAAATGTATATTTACATCATTGTCTTGTGGTTTGCATTCACATCTTCATTTGAGATTTAGAACAGTTGAATGAATCGGATCAAACTGCCACATATTTACACGATTAAAGACTTCCTTAAAACCGCCAATGATAAATGTTGAGCTGAAATCTCATAACAGTGTGTGACATTTTTAAAGTTTTTTCCAGCTGCATTGGTATGAACGAGAATGAATTGAATGAAATTTATTGTTTTGAATTTATCTTCTTCCGTTCTTGAAGAGGAATATCAAAGGATATTCACAGTAATGCTTAGGTATTTGTATGCTTCATATCTATGCTTTTTCTCTTGATATGTGTTGAAACATAAGAAGACATGCATTTTTTGTGACAAAAACATTCAATGCGAAAGAATCTCTGCTATTCATTCGAAACAATTCTTCATATTGTTGACTGTAAACAATTTTTATCTCGTATAAGGAAAAGATTTGAAATCTGAAAGATGCTTTTTAATATAACTATAGTAACATTAGACACATTTTTTTTTCTTTTCAACATTTTTCAATTTATTAAATTACATTGAACATTAAACTTACAAAGTAACAAACAATCATTAAGCTTATCCTTCGTTTTTGTATCAAAATAAATACAAAGTTGTTTCTGGTTGAAGCGAAGCATTTGAGCTTCAAAAGAATTTTTTTTGTTACACGTTTTCTTTAAAAATTAATGAAAGGAATCTAATAATACAACACAATCAAAATATTTATTAAAAGTAAATTTTCTTTCTATTTTCCTGCAGCTTTTATGTAAAAATAAATAAATAAAATGATAACATCGCTTGGACTACTTTTTGAGATTATCTGTGTCGTTTTATAAAGTTTATACTTAGTTCTTCGGGGAATTGTTTTGCTTCTTGTTTGTGATAAAATTTTAATTCCTCGTTTCTTAGTATTTCAATTCCTTCGAGATTTAATAAAAATGGAGAAAATAGATACAGAGAGTTGAAAATCGTTTTATTACTTACAAGCGGCTTTGATGACATGTCTTAAAGTTCCTACTTCTTAGAATTAAGTACTCTTACAGATATAAATTTAGCCATAAAAAATATATTTGTCGTAAGAAGGCATCTCAATCGAAATAATTTCAACGATGCTTGAGATTTATGAAAAAGAAATTTTCACAAAAATAGAAAAATAAATAAATTTCCTATTATCTAATAATAAAATTAATTGATATTGATATGACTTGTTGTTACAATTTCGTGAGATAATCTCTGAATCGTTTTTCGAATAAACTATTTATCAAGTTGACTTATTTTCTACTTTGTTTTGAATAACCCTGACTTGAAGTTAAGTCTCAGCATGACTTCATTTTCTTCTTGAATGATTAATTGATAAAAATGAAAAATGTAACCTATGTAAATGTGTGATGTACGACAATGTGCATGAGAATGGAAAACTTCCATAATGAGTTTTAGGCAGATCCTTAACTCGCATGTTTTTCGCTAGCTCGACATAGCGCGAAATCTCATTCGGTATGTTTGAAGTTACGAAACGAGTCAAGGCACTGGCTTTAGGAACTTGATTGACGTCATGAGATGATGAAATTTTGATGCTCATGTACACGAACACTTCATCACTCGCATTTTCTTCATGGTTGTCACCTTTAATCGTGTGTGATCAGCTTCATCAATATGCAACACTTCCATGTCCAGGAGACGTGTTGGTGCACAGCACACATTTGGAACTTTTGAGTTTTTAAGTTGATGTCGTGCAAGTGATTGAAAAAAAGCGTGATTATTAGCAACATTGTACTTGTATGGACATGTTCCATCGCAGAAACCCGCATCAAAGTTTCGAGGTTGAATAATATAATCATATCCGCCCAACTCTTTGAAATCGATCACCCACTTATGTCGACAGCACTTTTTATCGCCATCCTGACGACAAAATGTCTTTCTTGGCTGTGTGATTGTGTAATCTTTGGCTTCATCCAAATGGCCATGCTTTTTGTGACCTGTTTTCCTTTTCGTTCGCACCACCGAACCGACAATGTTTAATGCTGGGTTATTCTTTGACATCTCATCATGTTGATTCACAATTTTGAGACCATATTTCGAACACGACTCACAGTAAACGTCGATGCCAAGAATTTTTTCTTTCTCCTGAAGCCATCGATTAACTGTCGTCGTTAAATCCAATTGAATCCATTTCTTATAAGTAAATTGTGTTACATCAGAGTTGATTGGTAAAATTATATCTTTACTGAAGAGAAGCATTCGACCTTCAGAACTTGAATGATAAACATGCAATCGGATCATCTGTTTGTTTGTAATAATTTGAACTTTATTTCGATTGTTGTGACTGTTGCTGTGATGTCGCATGTGAGATTTCCTATTTCTATTTCTATGGGATTTTAAAACTAACTTTTTAGGTGATTCATCAAAGCTGTTATTTTCGTCGTATTCACTGTCACTGTCACTGTCACTGTCGTGAACCGTCTTATCAGCCTTCCAAGATTTTTCGGGTACGTGATTCGGATCATTGGTCAAGAAAACATTGAGAATCGATTCTTCAATGTCTAAGGGTAAGTCATCCCGGTTGTTTATCTCAAAGTCTAGCGTTGTTATTTCTTCGTCGTTTGTTGAACGACGACTACGTTGATTTCGCGCACGATTCAATTTGTCTAAAAATATCGAATGAAAGGAGATAAAGAAACGATAATTTAGTATTTATTGAAACTTTTCTTAGATTACTTCTTCATGCTTTTGTACGAGTTCTTGTCATGCGATTTTATCATTTTCGATAAACATCTTCAAGGTTTTTCCGAAAATGTTTTCCTTTAATGACTCAGAAATTTCATTTCTGTGTATCTCGTGAATTGATATGTCATCTAATATTTCTTGATAAGCAACTATTAAGACTCGCAAATAATAAACTTATCATAAAAGCATGAAAAAGAAGTAAAAGTGTTAATTTCTCTACGTGTTTGTTTCTGAATTACTCACTTGAATGTTTAAATGTAAATATTTTCTTTACAGATTCACTTCCATCTCCATATACAAAGTTGGTAACATCATCACCGTAAAATTTTGCTGATCGTCGCTTGCGATAATTTAATTTGCTCAAATATTCGTTATATTTAGTGAGGAATTCCTCCTGGCTGATGTTGGCCTGTAATTGAAAGTATAAAGAACATAAAAGATAAGAAAATGATTCCAAACATGATATTCTGCTATGGAAGGAAGATTTTAATAGCAAACTTTTATTATCTTTCGCCAACTTTTATGTTTGCAACACTTGCACATAATCGTGGAAGATTCCGATCAAGATATAAAATGAATTTTTAATTGCTACTTTGTGTTGTCTGTTGCATAAATGTTCTCGATATTTATAGATAATCGACAATTATGGAAGATGCTCAAAAGATTTCATTTAATAGCACTTATTGAGTATTAAAAAAGTATCAAGAACAGCTTTTTGAAGTTGAGATGTTGAGAACGAGATTTTCGGTTTCAACGACCGACAAAATCGAGACAAAGTAATAAGAAAACTTCAGACGAATTAAATTACCCAAGGGATTAACGAGTAGCCAAGGTATTGTAAGAAAGTTTAAGGTGACAAATCTCATCAAAAAAACTTAACACGATTATTTTTTAACCAGATAACCTTTTCACAATTATTTAACCTCTCTTAATTCAACATCATAAGATGTAAATTTTATTTGACTAAGCTTACTTAATACACGGCAATTATGCAATTAATCTTTTCATCGCGATAAGCTTATCACGGTTTTTGAATAAATATTTTGTCTTTTGATGTTATGACGACAATGACTTGCGTGTTCATGTACGTGAAGTTTTTTCTTTCGACTCATGATGAAAATGATGGAAGTATGTGTCAAATCTAATATTATTCAACAACCAAGTGAATGATTTATTGATTTTTATGATCTATTGTGGATTTTGTTTAAAAGTTTTTGCTGAACGAGTCGATGAATGTCACCAGTCTTATAAATTATAAAACCGCAAAAAAAACGAATAGACTTTCATAACTTTCTGGCAGAATGATGTGCCGATAAAATTTTCGGAAATGTCTACAAGTGTCATGACAAACATTTTCCAGATGAGTAATAATTAATATAAACGCCACGCGGCGCTAGCAAATAATCTAATAGACTCCGAAATATTTCTGTTATCACTCATACCACAAGACAACAAATTCTGTTAATAAAATTATCACCCAACGAACGTCAACACTCTCACTCTGACATTGCCATTTTTGGTTTAATTTCAAAAGTGACAGTAAAGCCCCAGACAAACCATTCATTGACTTTTTCAGTTTGTCGCTCGTGAAATGTTTTTGTAAATTCACGAAACTCATGAGCTTTGCCCCCAAATCGACTTTTTTATTTTGTTTTTCTTGTACCATCCCACATGAGGCTTATAAGTATTCCGTAAACATTTGATAAGAAAAAATCTTGCACGTTCGTGATTTTTTACCGTGTGAATTAAGTTCGGAAGTTTGACAACGTTTTCTGTGAATGTTTGCAGCATTCATTTGTATGTGTTAAGAATCTCAACATTATTAAGTTAAGAAGGAAAAAGATAAATGAAGATTTGAATGCAGTTTGAATTATTTATTGTGGTTGATTTTTTCATCTTCGAATTATTGTGAAATCAAGAATGGAATTTATCAAACCAGTTCTTGCTATTTTATCTTACTGATGATTGCATAAATCGACTGTCGTACAAGACGAATGATATGAAACAAATATAAACGGAATTCTTGATGAAGAAGAATCCATGATATTTCCATGTTATTTGCCAACGACGTTTCATCAAAAGCATTTTATATTCATGAAAACTTACAATCTCAACAGACATCAGATAACATTACAAAGCAGACTCAAGTCAATTTCATTTGCAATTCCGTTTATATTTGTTTCATATCATTCGTCTTGTAAATCAAATGCTTGAAATCAACTAAAATAAGATCTCTCATTGGATTAATCTGCTTTTAATTTGTAAACACATTAATTCCGGGATTTGGAATTGCTTCTTGAAAGCACACTTATAAAAATGCTTTTGCTTTCAACACTCAATTATCTATCTGGCAAACACCCACTACGGACGATGTTGCGCCACTTAAGTGTTTTTTAAAATGAATTTAAGTAAGGAAACGATTCAGATTCGACTCCCCGAGAAACAATTTCACAACTTTAGTTAATACGAAACCGAGTGATCTTGTTACTACCTAACGATGAGAACAGAGAAGAAAAAATGTTTTAAATTTTTAAAAACGAATTTTTTTGCGAAGTCATTGAAAGAAAGCACAGCATACAGAAGTTGACGTGATGAATCACGTATCAGTCGTTTAGAATTTTCCTCGTCATTCTAGGGATTCTTCTTGAAACGAAAGCTATGTCGTACATGTTTTAGATATGTTTAACGTTTTCCCAAGCAGTTTTAGTCAACGTTAAGAAGCCATTTAGCTTTCTCACATAAAGCATAATCCTATAATCTCAATAGCATCCGTTCTTCTTATAATTCAGTAGTCGTCGAAGAATTTTCTCTTTGTTCAGATATCGAACGGTCGTTTATGAAGGATCCATGGTAAAAAATTCAATTTTAAAGCTTTATTCATTCAACTGCTTAAGCCCATAAGGTCATTGAACAAAAATGGAAAAAAATTTGATTGTCAAGAACCAAACTGCCTATTTACGCCTACACTGATTCATGTTAACAGCTTTAATGAGCCCTGCTTATGAATAGTAAAATCAGTTTTATGACACTGAAATATTAATAACAAGTCTAATTTATAACTTTATAGCGATTAATTCTTAAACAAAAATTTTTGAATTCCTCAAGTTAAATTTAGAACGTCGTCGGTCTATAAATAGTGAAACAAGAAGTAATATCATTTTTAGATTTGTCTCTTCTCCATCGTTTATGTTATAAATAAACGTGATAGATAATTATAGAGATTTCAATATCGAGTTAAGATTTCATGATAAGGAAAAAAAGTGTTAACAACTCAATGACATAAGCAAACAAGTATGGAATTCAACAACCAATGAAGTTGTTTTGTGCTTCCCCGAAGTTGACGATGATTTTGTCTGTTTACATATCGTTTATAGTGGCATCGATGGTCGAGTGAGACTGAATGGTGTGTGGCCGTTTATCAAAATGTGTGGAAAGTGTGTTGGCGAACTCGAAATAATAAGAAAAAAGAAGTAAAGAAGCATATTTGCTTTCTATATTTTGAATTATTTATTCGAAATACCCCGCATTGCTTGTCGATTGCTGTTGTCACATCATCTGGCTCAAAATATCAATGAAAAGATGAAATGAATTTATTTAGCGCGTGCTTTGGAATGTACTGACAGAAATCAGAGTAAATTATGAGAAGAAATTTTCATTACTTTATGAGCTTCCGCTGTTTACATTAACATTAATTACAGATATCTACTCTTTCTCGCTTCGTTTTCATTAGCATTTTGTCTGTTCTGTGTCACGCTCAACAAGTGGTTGACAATAAGTTTACAGAATTCTTCAAATATTTGCGGCGCTTCTGTTTTTTTCATATTCAACCCGTTTGAAAACGAATGTTAACCTCATGACGACGTAATCCTATTTTAAGAAGCTGATCATTGAAAGAGAAACAAAAATTTATTAGCGGACATCCCTCAATCAAATTCCGCAGTATATCATTTAAGTAAATGGACTTGTTGTAGCGGCTGTTTTTGTAAATAAAATATTTTACCTCCCAAACACATTGCACGGCATATTTTCACTCATTTCTCTACCACAAAACAGCGCAAAAGAATCTTTTATATAAAACGTGTTGTTTATAGTTTGTCAGAAGGGAAAACCAGCAGCAACAAGCCCACGACAAGAGCAAAAGATCTTTCATCAATTAAAACAAAAATATAATTACGGAAAATCTTACAAATATGCGATAAATAAAAAGAAATTCTTCAAATATTTCCTTCGTTGTGTGTTTACTTAGCGAATAATTATTTTTTTTGATATCTCAAAATTTGCAGCGTGTTGTTTTTAAGATCACAAGCTTTGAAATTTGATTATCAGAGTTTTCAAGCCCAGAAATACGAGCACATAGACAAGAACATTGCAGTCGATATTTCTTAAAGAGAAGTTGAAAAGTTATTGCTTAACTGAGTGCATATTTTGACTGTCTAGATTTTGTTTGACTTAAAAATGTTTTGTTTGACTTAATTTCAGAGTTCGAAAGTTGAAGTTGAGATGCTTGATTGATGTCTGAAGAAGAAACATTTCAGTTGAAAACATGAATTAAAACTCTCTAAATATTGTTTACTTTTAAAGAAGAAAAACGTTTCATGTCAAGTTATCTCACTTTTTGAAACTTTAATTCGGTTATTGCATTTCGATATCTTCCATTTAAAATGTGTGAAGAAGAATGTAAAATTCTGCTCCAGTTTAACAACATCCTACACATTTTTAATATTATTTTAATTTATTTCGTGATTTGAATAAATCTTTTTCAATAAATTGAATTCTTTCAGGGAATGAAAGCTTTGCAATCACAGATCAATTGCTAAACAAATGCTAAAAAATATTTCATGTCATTCACTGAATCATGACTTGAATGCACTTTTATGCAATATAAATATTTGTATGACAAATGTAAATTGACTTTTCTATTCAAAAAGTGAAACTCTTCTCATGCTGTCTGACGATGAAAATAAAATAAAGATGAGAGCATGAGAAGCATCTCAATAGAAATATTTGTTTTCATTTCTAAATGGCGCCAGGTGTGAGTAGGAGCTTGTTGTATCATTTTAATTCATTTAAGACATTTCCTTGCTCTGCTTATTCATTCAAATTTAAGCGGAACAAATATTTAAATCTAATGGAATTAATTACCAAATGTTCAAGACAAACTTATGAAACTAGTAAAACTTATTATTTGATGTAAAGTTTAACTTTGTAAACTGTCAACCATACGTCGCTTATAAAGACATTAAGCTCACAAATTGACTCTCGACACGACATAATATCGCAAAAAAGCCTTTGAAATGTATGATGGTAATATTTGAAGATCAATAACGTGAGATCTCTTTCAATATTTGCGACAAGACGAAGATAAATCGATTGAACATTGTTGACCTTCTATACAGTATTCAGCATACATATTACGAAAAAATATCTCTCGGCAAGAATCAAAAACAAATATTTAAAGCTTTTGTATTTATGTCATGGGAAAAGGTTATTTTCTCCATATGTATCAAGAAAAAACGTCAAAAGTTTCCTGCTTATGCCTTAAAGCTGTTCAATTGACAATAGAAAGATTTGTGCCCCAATTATTAAGTTTTAAAACTTTTGCATTTTTACATTTCATTCAGAACTTATGATTGCTAATAGAAAAGAATTCAGATTTGAAAAACGGAGGCGACCTTCAGAATGATGAGCAAGTTCTATTTTACTAGAACTTGTTTTGCAAAAAAATTTATCATTATTCAAAAGCTTATGTAAATTTTCCAATTCAACGAGAAAGATTCGGGGAATTTGTTATATCTTGTTTCTTATTAACGTAATAGATTTCATTCAGAAGATTAATTTGATGCTAATCATGAAACCTTGGAAATTCATCAAGGATCAGTTCTGTAGAACGAAATGGTAGGAGAACAAATTTAAATCATTCCATTGATAAATATTTAAAAATAGAAAAATATTTCAATTGAAAGCTCATTAAGGCTTTCTTCATATTTTTTAGGCTATTAGGTTTACGGAAGTGTTTACGAATTCAACAAGTTTCTTTCATTTTTTATTTTTAGAAGTTAATTAATAAATATTGCTATGTATCTAAATAATGTTTAATTAATTTTACTGTTGAAAATCGTCCTTTGATCTTTAATTTAACTTTAATTTACTACTAACGTTGCTTTTTGGTTGTAAAAAAAAACAGTAAGAAAGAAAAAAAATATGAAGATATTTATAAACTCTGAAAGCTTTTAAAGGTCCAAATAACTAGATATATTTGTACTTCTACTTTAATTCAATGTGACCTGAAAAGATTTTTGGAATATCTAGGAAGTTTTCATAAACAACTCAAAGTCTAGTTTTTTGTGTGAACATTTCATTCTAGTCATGGTTGAGAGACTACTGAAACTTTCATGTTTATAAATTATCTCCCTCCGTGGCTTTAAGTGAAAAATGGCTCTAAAGACATTTGATGACAGGCCATATATTTTTTAACAAGAAAAAGCTCGGATGCGTTGCGAAGTAAGGTGTAAGAAGTATAAAGCAAGATAAGAAGATGAGGAATAAATTTATTGAGGTTGTAAGATTCTTCACGACAAATTTCTACTGAAATTCAACAGTGTTGCTTCGCTTTTCCGTTCTTATTTCATGTTACTATTTAGGCATTTGCCTTTCAACATAAGAAGAGAAAGTTTCTGATCCCATTGAACACTCAAAAGATTTAAAAGTGCAAACAAAGCGGCAAACACCTTTTAGTGAAGCAATTTCCGACCTCTCTTTGATCCGTCAAAATCAATTTGCTTAACATTCAAATTC